CACACCTCCCCTCACGAGGGAGCCTTCCTCACCCGGCCCCTGGCCGATGGGCGCCTTCCACTCCAGGCCACACACCCCCACCTCTTCGCCAAAATCAGACACCCACGCTACCCACCTGCACCCACTCCCTGTCGCGGTAGCTAGAAACCCCTACCAGGGCTCTGGTGAGGGACCTCTGGTGTCTAGACCACACTCAGAAGGGGCCGAAGACCTCCTCAGCGGCGCTCGACTGCGACTGCACGCGCTCGCGCCAGCTCTCCGCGCCAAGATCCCGTGGGCTCCCAGAAGCCCCCGGTGCTCCCAGAATCCCTAGGCAGATCACAGAGAAAGTTCTGGGCGTCTCTGCAAGGTAAATGAGCACACCAGATGGCGCTAGTGCTCCTATGCCAGCCATATCTGAATGGTACGCGCATGATGTGGTAACCCTTGAGTCTTCTAGAAGCAATGGGCCCTCCATCAATATCGTGGAATACCAACGCGGCGGCACGGCTGGGGGAATCTTTGTATAGAGACCTCATGGTGACCAGTTGGTCAGATTGTCTCTATTGTTTGCTTTCCTTTGTTGACAATATCCTGGAGGCATTCTATAGTTTTGCTGGTTTCTTGTCTACCTGTATGAATTACTGAATCAGGTGTTTTAAAATCTCCAATCATAATTGCAGAAGTGCCTATTTTATACTTGGTCAATTTTCATTTCATACATTTTAAGGCTCTGTTATTAAGTGAAAACACATTTATGAATTCTGTGTGTTCCTAATTAATTGACCTGTTTACCATCACTATCTTTTATATCAGGTCTTTAAATCCACTTTGTCTACTATTAATATAGCCATTTCTACTTTCTTATACTTACACTTTGCATGTTATGTCATTGTTCATTTCATTATCAGCCTGTCTGAGTCTTTATATTTAAATTGCACCTCTTGTAGACAGAAAAAGCCTTCTTTTTAAATCCACCCTGACAATCTCTGCCCATTAGTTGGAGGATTTAGTCCATTAACATTTAATGTAATTTCTATATGTTTGAATCTAGCCTTATCCTTTTACCATCTTTCCCATCTATGTTTCTATGTTCACCATTTCCTGCCTGAATTAATCAAAATCTTTTACAATTCCCTGTTAATTTCTCTACTGCCTTATTAGCACTATCACTTTGCATTGATTTTTGTGGCTGCTCTAAAGATTACATCCTATATCCTTTATGCTATCTACTTACAATTTATATTGTACCATTTCACATGACTGTAAAAGCCTTTACACCATACAGATTTATTTCCCCCTCTGTCTCATCTTTTATGCTATAGTTGTCACATTTATTATCTCTATAAATCCTACAATAAACTTTTAGACTCTTTACTTTAAATTGTTGTATGTATTATAAAGAAATTAAGAGCAAATAAATACTGTTTTGTCTCTACCCACATCTTTACCCTTTCTAGTGTTCTTCATTTCTACCAAGATCAAGGTTTCCCTCTTTTTCTTTAGACTGAAAGACTTCCTTAAACATTTCTTTTACTTGAGATGTGTTGATGAATTCTTACAGTTTTCATGTATTTTACAATATTTTTAGTTTACCGTCATGCTTACAGGATTGTTTCGTCAGGATGTAGACGTACAGTTCTGGGTTACAAGCCTTTTGGTTTTCGTTTTTCCTCTCAGTGCTTGAAAGACGTTGTTCACTGTCTCAGAGTTGCCACTGCTTCTGATCACAGTTCTTTCGCTGTCCTTGCTAATGCCCTCATACATGCGTTACTCCATTTTATTGACTGCTTTCAGGGCTTTCTCTTTATTCATTGTCTTCAGCACTTTGAGAACAATGCAGCTATGTGTGGTTTTCCTTTGTGTCTATTCTCCTTGGGGTTCACTTCACTTCTTCAATCTGTAAATTATGCCTAGCCCCACATTTTGGAAATTTCACTTACTCTTCCTTCTTTTCTTTTCTTTTCTTTTCTTTTTTCTTTTTTCTTTTCTTTCTTTCTTTGTTTAGGGAGAGATATTTTTGCTATAGGGCAAGTGCACTGCCTGGAGAGACAGAAAGCAAGAAATCATCCCCAGGGGAATGGCCGTGCCTCAATCCCTTCTCCTCCATTCTCCTCTCAGGATTTTGCACACGCATGCTCATACGCCCGACATGAGTTTGAAGCCACCAGGTCTGGGACTCAAACTACAGTAGACTACGTGGGAGTCCAGCAACATAACCATTATGCCATCGGCTGGTCCCCAGTTATTGTTTCTTAAACTAAGTGTCATTCCCTACAGTCTCTCTGCTGCCCTGGAATTCCAAACATGCATTTGTTAGACCTTTTTATATTGTCCACAGGTCACTGTGGTTCTGTCCTTTCCATTTTTCTTTTTTGAAAAATATTTTATCCTCTCAGTTTCTCAAAATGGATCTGTCCCATTTATCTGCATTCAGGTTTGTGACCCTCTGTCATCTCCCATCTGGTAATAAGGGCAGCCAGTGAAATTTTCACTTTGGACCCTGTATCCTGCAGCTCTAGAATCTACAAGTGATTCCCTTCAATGCTTTCATGCTTTATGTCTGTATGCATATTTTAAAACATTGCAAATGACATTGTTGGGCCATCTCAGGACTGATCATCCTGCTTTTTGTTTTTCTCATATCAGGACACTTTCTGGTTTCTTCCAGTAATGCAGCACTAGACCCTGGAGGGTAGCAGCAATGAGTTGCAGCGGCTCTGGGTTTTACTAGGGTTCTGTTGTTGTAGTCCTACTAACAGTTAACTTAGCCGGGCTCCCGCTCCATCTCCCCACACTGGGCACCAGCTGGAATCTCCACTCACTTCTTTTATCGGAGTTTTCCCTGTGCTTGCACAGCTCGGAGGTCAGCCAGAGACCTGGCCAGTTTCCGTGCCGAACTCGGGACTCTCTGCGGTTCCCTCTCCCACTCTCCCTATGTCACGAGGCCCTGAAGTCTATCCTCTGGGTCTTTGAATTTGAGCCATGCAGCACGGTATCCCGCATGGCCCACCATCACATGCAGTCCCAAGAAAGTGGCCTGCCACTGATCCCTTCTCGCTGCGTCCTCCCCTGGAGTCCCTGCCTCTTGAGACTGCAGCTTGGACATCCCCCCTCTATTTAGGTGCTCCACCCCTGCACTCTACCTTCCCAGCAGGGATGCGGGCAGGGAGGAGGCTACACCAAAACAGCTGGCCCAGTCTGGCCTCGGAGCCCATCTACATATGAGCTCATGGTCCCTGTCTCCCCCAGTTAGTGTCTATGACTTGGTGGACACCCCACAAATCTCTATATGTGCTCCCAGATCGCCTTCCCCCATGGGTGGGCCACAGTATGCCTGGTCAGGGAAAGCTGCTGCCCCCCCTACACCCTACTGTGAAAGCTGCCCAGGGCCTCCATTGGCCCAGCCTCCCTCCGTGGCGCAGACCCCCCTCCCAGGGACTCCCCACTCTTCCACAGTCAGGGAACTTCATTCTGAACCCCTGCTCCAGGGCCCTCCCTGCAGAGCCCCTGGAACTTGCCCTGTTGGTACCTCCTCCAGTGCCCCCACCCAGTAGGCAGCACCAGGACCTAGACAGCACCTGCCCCCTGTGCCCAGCTCCCTGGCCTGCTGACCTGGGCCACTAGGACAGGCACGACCAAGCTGGGGGGCAGCCAGGCCGGCCAGGGGCCCGGGGAGGACAGGAACCCCCCCAGCACCCTCTCCTGCTCCCCAGCCGCCGCCCAGCCTGGGCCTGGGCCTGGGCCTGGGCCGCCTCAGCTCCTGGAGCAGCAGCTCGGGGTCAGTGCTCTGAGGGGTGGCCCCAGAAGCCTGGCCTGGAAGAAGAGCTTTGGGGTCCGAGGCGGCGAGGAGTCAGGGCTGGAGCTTGGTAAAGTGTGCCCAGGGTACCCACAAAGAGGGAGAGGACACACCAGCCCGGCCTCAGTGAGGGCGGCTCTTCGGAGGACTGTGCAGGCCACCCTCTGCTCTCTGCTCTGCCTTCCTTCCGTCCGTCCGTCTTTCTTCCGCCAACACACCCTGACATGCCTCCGGTGTGCGGCCGGCTGTGCCAGGCGCTGGCAGGGGACAGTGAGCGAGGCCAGGGGGCTGTTCCTGCTGTTTGCTTTCTCCTCTGTGCACCTATGTGCGTGCACACCTTGTGATTTTTTTAAAAAAGCTTTTCTTTCATGACAGAGAGAGAGTCAGGCACCTTCAACAGGGCCTCGGGCCATGCTCCTCCCCAGCCTCCCCGGCCAGCCAGGGTCACGAGCACGCCGGTGCCTGCCCAGCACATCCCTGACCGCACAGAAACCGAGCCCCTGCCCCCGCAGGGAGCCAGCGCTGCCGACTGGAGCGCGACTGTGCACCGCGTGACTGGCCGGTTCCTGGATTTCTTGAGTCAACTGAGACAGTATACGTGTTTATTTCTAAATACCTCCGCGAGTGTTTCCTGCAAGCGAGGGCTGCTCACTTATATAGCCACATGTGCTGATCAGATCAGGGAATGGGCATCAGTGCCGTACGCTGACCTGAGGCCGGATGCTTGGTTTGCCAGTCGCCCCAGTAACGTCCTTTCTAGAAGGGGAGTGAACCCCATCGTGCGCTGCATTCAGTTGGCCTGCCTCTCTGGTCTCCCTCAGCCTGGAGCAGCTGTTCCAACCTGCTTCACGGCACTGCCATTTTACAAGAACACGGGCCAGGTATTTTGCTTTTCCTTTTCAGTCGTTTTCACACTCCCCTTCCCAGGGCCCACCAGCCCTGGATTTCAATCCGGTTCTTGCACCTGGACCGTGTACCATCTGTAGGAAAATGGCAACCCCAGTGCCCACCCCTCCAGGACTGGTGGCCAGTCTCACGGTAGCCAAGAGGGAAAGACCACACACCAGCTGGTGTTCGCGTGGTGCGCCATCTTCCCTCTTCTGTGTCTCTGTTGCCCTCCTCTTGGTCCCTTTTGCCACTGACACCCACTTTCTGATCCATGTCCGCCTGGCTCTCTTGGGCTGGTCCCTTACTGAGCACCCTGGCTGGGTCACTTCATGCTGGCCGCCTGGAAAGGGCCCCTGGCACCTTGGATGCAAGGTGCGAATGGATTGGATGTCGTGGGGATGGAAGGGGATGGAAGGGCGGATGTGTGGATGTAATGCCCAGGAGTCTGGCCCATGGGAGGCACAGGGCAAACTCCGGCCCCTCCCCGTCGCGTTCAGGGCCCGCGGTGCGCTGCCCACTGCAACCGGAGCGCTTGCAGCAGCTCAGACGGGAAACGGAAGTGCCCCGGGGTGCGTGGGGAGT